GAACATAAACTGTCAGTTCCACAGCAGTGCATTCAGCTCCATCTATCTGGTATTTCATCATTATTTGGAAGACTATATAAAAATCACTGTTGATAAAATTTACCAATGGCACAAAAATGGTGAGATGCTAAAAATCATGGGGAGGCACTGATTAGTCACTTAGTCAAGTGGGCTCTTTTCAACAATATGAATTTTAAATCAGCAATATGTAAAGGAAAAAATCCTAGAGGCGGTGATGAACTGGGCCTGGGACTGTGGTGGAGAAGCAACAGAATATGAGCTGTTAGTTGATTGCTAAATCTATGGATGTAAACACAGTCTTGGACTGTATAAAATTGCTATCAAGTTGAAATTTCATCAAAGCTTTAGTAGGTACCCATAATTTAAAAGGACACTGACAAACTGCGAAGGATGTGTTCCGCTCAAGGATGGGAGAAGGTGAAGAAGACTGTTTTGCTGTCTGCAAATACCTTTCTCAGGAAATAGACTTTTTAGTTTTAAAAAAATTCGCTCACTCTAACAGGGAAAAATGTAGAAATGGTCTGTAGTAGGAAGCAGWCACTGGACAGATTAAAGAGAAATAAGGCATACATTTTGAGCAGTGAAAATATTTAATCAGTCAAACTATTTACCTGGGGACATGCTGCAGTCTTACTCACTGCTATAGTTGAAACATAATTTGTTTAAGCTAAAACAAGTAAGTTTTGYTTCAAAATGTAGTTACACTCTGATACTGGAATTATCATGTGAGGATCTTTATCTTAGAACAGATAAGACTAGATGATAATAATTGTCCCTTCTGGCCTTCAGAGCTGTAAATCTGGTTATAACCTGGCTGTGTCTCCTTGCACAGCCCACAGCAGAGGGTTCCCCTGACCTGTAGGGTCAAACTGTAYTCTGAGCAGGACTGGGGGTCTCCTCCTGCACAGATTGTACCTCTGGGTTGTTTGTACACCCTGCTACACAAACAGACCTSTTTCTACTGGGCAACGTGTCTGTTTCCAGTTATCTACTAAGCTTTTGTGCAGACTTTACAAGCAGCATTGAATTTTTATTGTTTTACTTTATCCTGATATAAAATAGTTCCTCTGAGATGTCTTGTCTCTTGTAAACCAGAGCAGTAGGTAGATCAGAGCTGTGATTATGTTGCCCAGATAATGTAATCCCTATAAGATCTTTTTGTTTTGGTTAGTTGTGCATACTGGAATGTTCTCTCATCCTACTCCATTGTGAAAAATTTGCAGGGATACAAACAGGGCCAGAGAATTCGCAAGATCAGGGTGGCCATTGCCTTTGTGAACAATGAAAAATGACCCTTGGATATGAAATGCAGAAAATTATTTTGAAAAAGTCATGTTCCCTCACTCCTACATGGCAATGTTAATTTATGTGAGCTGATATTAAGTGTTAAATAACTCACCCAGACACTGCTCTTGGCAGTAACACCAGGGTAGTCATTACACTGGGATGAATTCTCTGAAACCTTTCCTCAAAGTATGAGACACAAACAGGTTGTCTTCTAACAAGAATCATAGCCTACCTCCCCTGTCCCCTGCAGTGCTCTTTGGACATATGCTCCTGCATTTGCTGACAGAATCCTGAAAATTACTGCTCCTTTGGGTTTTCCATTGAAACTGGCTTGGTTTGAGATTAGACTGGGATTTTTCCCACAGCAGCTTATAACTCTGTTTTGTCATTTGTACCAGGATGTATGCAGGGTGTAGCTGGTTATTAATTTGAATGRATGAAGGAGCATCTAAATAACTGCACAATTACTGGATTTAGGAAATACTGACAGACTAAATTAAAAAGATTCAAAGATGATTGACTCCATCCTACTCCCTTCTCCCAATCCCTGCCCTCGAAATAGCAACATTTAAGGCTGCTTTGAAGTAAACTACCCACAGCCAGTATTTGGATCTGGAAGAGAAGAGCGAGGTTTTGAATAGCTCCCTTTGAACAATGTCATTTGGCCAGTCCTGCACTGCAAAGGTGGCACAGTGTGTGGCTACATGTTGAGTTCAATTTCAGACCTTCAGCTTCAGATCTCGTTTCTAGCCATGTGAGGAGTGGGAGCACCACAGAGGCAGCACACCAAGGCTGGGAGAGATTTGAACTTTTTACCACACTGTCTCAGTCAGTGTCCTCTTTCAGTCCAATGCTTACGGCACTGGTGGCGAGCTGTGTGGAGAGGCCTTAGAGCAGAAAATGGAATGACTTCAAGGCTTAACAGTTCAGAATGAGTACCCTGTGCCCAGGGCTTTAGACTGAAGGTACTTTTACAAGTACAAACCACAACTAGTATTTTTCTCTAGTTAGTGTTTTTTAACTTACTTGTCCCCATTTTTTACATATGCATCCGCTTTAAGCAGTTTCTGCATGTTTTTAGCAGCACCAGTACAGCCTGTGTTGCAAACTTCTCCTCCTCCCTGCAGTAGTCCTCCAGCAGCTGACATAGTGCCTGCAAAGCTGGAACACACTTTTTGATGGTGCCTCTTGATGTGCAGTGCAAACACACACTGAACTATCATTAGAATAAAAGGAAGTGCTCAATGTAATTGTGTTAAAGATTTCCGTGAAGGCATAGGGGATGCTGAGGAAGAGCTTTTCAATTAAGAGGAGTGAAAATTCAAAAGTGAGAGCATTTAACCCTATGAAGCCTGGCRCTTGTTTTTCAGGAGTTTTTGGCAACACTTGAACTGCTTAASTCATGTGAGAGGTCAGCAGTGCCTGCTGASAGTAACTGGTGGGACAAACATCAGRACAACTGAAAGAGRCTCAAARAATCCTGCARTGTAGATGCTGCAAACCCAGCATTAGTGTCTGTCCCTGTTCTGACTGGCAGCACAGCTGTCAGGGTTTGCACACTCCCAAACATTACAGAAATGCAAACACAGGCAGTGACAGCCAGGACAGTGTCTCCTGTCCCCTTGTCCCTGCTCTCCAAAGCTGCCATGGGGCTGTGTGTGCTCAGGTGCCCTCCTGGCCCCGGGGAAGCCCTGGTGATCCATCTCAAGTTGTGGTTCAGTAGGAACGGTTTGGTTTTGCACAACTCCAACTAAACCCAGCCCCTAATCCTTGTCAGGTGAAGCACCAGAGCTTAATTGGGCGATTGGGAAAGACTCAGAAGTTTCATTGAAATGTTTAAATCTGATTTCTTCTGYTAAGTTGTGTGGACYGAGGCCTMAAGCATGAACCRTGCTAATTACTGCCTCTCCCTCTGCTGAGCACCTCTTGTTGGAGGTTCTGYGCTTTCCTCCTCTAAAAGGGTCCATTGGTGTGGTTTGATATAAAGCTCTCGTGTCTCACCATTTAGTTTTAGGATCATGTTATGGATTTAGAATTTCCCCAGTTTGTAATGTGCCTCAGCCCCTGTTCATGGTCAGTGAGCCCTCGAGCAGTGCTCCATGGCCATGGGAGTGTTCTGGGCTCTCATCTCATTACAAATTCCTGCCATCACAGGGAGCAGCAGCTTCCCCACGATTTACCAGCCCTTCAGTTGAGCCTGTAGCTTAAATAACAGAGGTTTGAAAGCCTTTCAGTTTTGTTTTTTAGAAGATTTGCAGTTTATCTGGAAATGGATCACTTTCCAGATGCTTCGGTGAACTACATATTATACAGTATTTTAAATGTAAGAATTATACAACATTTTAAATGAAAGAAGTTTTCAAAACAAATATTTCCATCATACCATTTGGAGAGGCTTTCCTTTGTCTTTTGTATCACTTAGGGAAAAGAAAACCTGCCTWGAGAAAACAGTTTGCTCTTCTTGCAGTGCTCCCTCATAGAAACAATAGCCAAKAGTGACAGCTGGCAGATCTCTCAGATTCCTGTCCTTTTTAGTGGGGATTTCCATACTTCTTCCTTTAAAATAAATTCTGCATTGCCAACAAGTGTTCCACAAAAATTTAGACGTACCTTTGTTTAGATGTATGTTCTTTTTGGATATGTCTTTATGGCTACATGAGAATATTTATTACATGTGTAAAATCTTCTGCCTCTTTGAAAGTATAGGAAGAACAATAAAAGTTTAGTGTAGGCTTCAAATATTTATTTAATTCATGGAAATCATCTTATATGTTTTAAAATTYGATTCAAGCTAAATCTAGAAAAGTGCTTATGGTGGGTAAATTACACATTTTACTGCTTGAGCATTAGAAATGTCATTAGTACAAAATTAAAGGACTGCAAAAACCAGTAGATAATGCTAATTTCAAATACAGAAATTAAATATATTTTGTACTTTTTTATTACTCGATTTCTTTTTTACTGACTATTTTTTATTTTAACTATATGTTCTTATATGCTGCAATCATAATGTAATGATATTAATATTTTATAGAATCTGTATTTATAGTTCTTTATTTAGAAACAATGCAGTAGGTCTGCAGATCTTTGAATCCTTCTGGAATGGTGCCCTCCAAATAATGATAAATTACTTGTGCAGTATGCCATTTGCTAATTATATCCATGATTTACTGCAGAGCAAGACTTAAATCATTCATTTCAGTCTTGCGTAACAGTGCCATAAAATTTTTAGGTTTAAAAATGGTTTCCATGTATATAATTTAAACAAATTTTAGAGCAATTGTATACACAAAATATTGCAACCATCCATTTGTTACATTCTTTGTCTCCCTTTTTTTTAAACTTGTACTTTTAATGATTACTGTGGTTGAAATTGTTATGCTTCATTTTCATAATCATAGCTTTTAATTCTACAACAGTTTTCTACATGTTAGRTTAAGAAAAGGATGGCTAATTGTGTGTAGATACCATGTCATTCCTGAATAGCCCCACATTCTCGAAACCCGTTTTAGAAATACTCAGTTTATGAATTAGTCTTCGATTAAAGGCGTTTCTTTTTTAAAAATGAATTATTAGTACCGAGACCTTCTTGTTTTTAAGCAGCTAATACTGATTTTTTAATTTCTTCACTCATCCATGGACCCAAGTACAGTTAATTCTCTTTCTATTTTCCTCTTTGTCCTCACCTGTAGGTGAGAAGCCCTACAAGTGTCCCCATTGTGACTATGCTGGAACTCAGTCTGCATCCCTCAAATACCACCTGGARCGGCACCACCGGGAGCGGCAGAACGGAGCAGGACCCCTGTCGGGGCAGAGTGCAAGCCAGGAGCACAAAGATGAGACATCAAGTAAAAGTTCTGTGTTCATTAGACCAGACATCTTGAGAGGAGCCTTCAAGGGRCTCCCTGGCATGGATTTCCGGGGCGGAATGGTCTCGCAGCAGTGGACRTCAGGAATGCTGTCTTCTGGGGATCAGCAAGGACAAGCAGCTGGCATGTCATCTGAGGGATCTTCAGAAAACATGAAGGGTTCAGACATATCTTCCAAAGGAGCACACTTCTCTGAACTCGGCCGTGCTTACCAGAACATGGTCGGGAACGGTGTGAACTTTCAAGGGTCTTTGCAAGCTTTCATGGACAGCTTTGTCCTAAGTTCTTTGAAGAAAGAAAAAGAAATGAAGGATAAAGCTCTCTCAGATCCGCTTTCAGCAAAAGCTCTGGGCTCAGATGGCAGTGAGGAGAAGATCAACAGCAAGTCCTCACAGCGGAAAACAGAGAAGTCGCAATACGAACCGCTGGACCTGTCGGTACGGCCCGACGCAGCCTCCCTGCCAGGCTCCTCCGTCACCGTGCAAGACAACATTGCCTGGCACGGCTGCTTGTTTTGCTCCTTCACAACTTCATCCATGGAGCTCATGGCTCTGCACCTCCAGGCCAACCACCTGGGCAAGGCTAAACGCAAAGACAACCTCATGGGCAACAACAAAGAGCAGTCTCGAGAKGTTTCAGCCTCGGTGAACAAAGTGAGCTTGCTCCCCTCCTCYGTGCAGTCCGGCAAGGAGGCTGGAGTTCCAAACATGCTGAGCCAGCTGGACTCAGCTTCTGAGAAAATGACCCAAGGACAAAATAAAGAGAGCCTGGGAGAGCAAAAGAGCACTGCCTGGCCCAGCCACATGGAATCCACTTTTTGTAATTTTACAACAGACTTCTATAAGCAGTTCGGTGTTTATCCTGGTGTTATTGGCACGGGGACACAAAATTCTTGCACCAGTAATGAATCCGAAATAAAAACACAATCCGAAGATGACCCAAATATTCTGCTGTCTGACTCTGTAAATAAAAGTGCTACTGATGACCTTTCTGACATAGCTTCGTCTGAGGATATGGAATCTTCCAAGGAAGAAAACATTGAAGATGAGGACATTGACACAGAACCAGATATTATGAATAAGCAGTTGTCTGCCCTAAATAAAGAAAGCAGTGAAGGAGGCGACAATATACAAAGTGCAGTCACCTCACAACCCACACAAGGGCTCGTATCACCGCTGCCACAAGCTTCAGAAAAGCAGTGGCACAGTCAGAATCTTCTCTCCTCACATGAAACTGCACAAGGAGTGATGAAACCCGAACAAGTTCAGGGCCCGCAGGTCCTGGAGAAGCAGATGAACATGTTGTCAGTCCTAAGAGCTTACAGCTCTGATGGCTTAGCAGCCTTTAATGGACTTGCAAGTAGCACAGCAACTAGTGGATGTATCAAGAGACCTGACTTGTGTGGTAAGTTTTAGACCTTCTTTTAGACCATTTCAGAAAACACTTGTGCAGAATCATGAAGCTGCTCTTTAAATATACYTAGTCATGTTTGTTAGTAATACATTTTTTTAAATGTTAAACCCTGTGGGCCAAATTCTAGTCCTATATGTGGTCTACTCCACTGAAATCAGCAGTGCTGCATGCATACTTAAACAGGATTTTAGAAAGAACTTGCTTTTTAAACTAGTGTAGCAGCAATATAGACTATCTGTGCTAGTGGCATCGGAAGGGGATACTTACTGCTTTAGCATACTCAAAGGAGGAAAGAGTTTTAAAAAATTCACATGGTAACTTGCAARCTTTTCAGTATTTTGATATAATAGCCCAAGAAAAACACTGGAYGCTTTGCCAAGCAAACCTTTCTTTCTCCTTTTTCTTTTTTCCCCTTCTTTCTTTGGATTGGGGTGTGTTCAGTTGCCACAACATTAATGAAATCAAAGGCCTAGTGCATGGAATGTGTCTACCTGTGTTGAATAGACATTTTCTTTCTTTTAATTCCTTTCCCTCCTTTTTTTTTTTTTAATTTTTTTTTTTTTTTTTTTTTTTTTTTTTTTTTTTTTTTTTTTTTTTTCTGGTTTGGTTCAATGGCACACATGCAGTACTTGCCCTTGACCATTTTCACTATTCTAACTATCAGTTGCATAGATCGTGATTTCCCTAATTAAGAATATGCCTCCAGGTAATTAAAATAACAAAACAACACACCAAATAACATTTTGAGTCTCTGATTTACAAAACTACAGTTTTACTTCCTCATATCACACACCTCATATTTATGAAAACTAAAGTTAAATCTGTTTGGAACAAATGAGATCGAGGATTTTTTAAAATTTATTTCTCTCCTGTTTTGTCAGCATAGTGTTTGTTTGAAAGAGAYTTGAGAGTGTAAATCCTTTGAAAAACAGTATCACTTTTAAAAGCAGAGTCAGCAAAGGACACAAAAACTTCAGTAATGTTCATTTCACTTAACCTTCAAAYTAATCAGAAAACTCATTGTCAGAGCTGAACATGCATAATAAAATGTATTCAAATAAAATAAAATAAAATAAAAATAAAATGTTATCAACAGTTTTAAAATGGAACCCTCAATCTGCAAGTACTTAAGAGTGGTTCCTCTGGGTAACTTAAGGTTAATGGGAGCTTTGTTTGACAAAGCAGGCAGAGTGTAGATGCTCAAAGCCCTAACCTCTTCTTCCGGCCCCTCTCTGCTTTTCCATGTGTATTAGTTGATCTGATGAAAAAAGTCTGATTTCTACAAAGTTTATCTCACTTGTATCCTTAAAGCATTGTGACTTCACAATATTGTCATTACTTTAAATAATATGTGCCCAAGCATCCATGTGGCCTTACTTGTAAACTTCTGTGTCTCAGTGCACTAAAAACCATTTTAGGAAGTTAGAATGAGTTCTAGATGGTTTCAAAATCAGCGTTTACATTATTGAAAAGAGTTAATAGTTGATTTAGTTTGCAGCAGGTAAAATCCTACTTGGATTTTTCTTTTCCATTTGTGGAGTACAATCAATTAACAGAAAAGAAAAAAAATACAGCAGAGAAATTACTGTCTAAGCATAGAAGTAAAAAAATTGGAAAACTAAGATTAGTTGCTTTGTGCAAAATATCTTTATGCTTTTTCACAGGCATAAGATTTTTAAAACAACAACAGAAAAAAACCCCTCTAATATTATTATTGAAATGAGGTCATGTTACTTCCATTAGTTTTTTGTTTCATCTTCCAATCAATTCAACAGACGTTTTATGATAGCTTGAGTTTATATGATTTTAAAGACCATATCCCTTTCACAAGCTCTGCCCAGTGATAATGGATTTGACTTGAAGTATGAAGGAAGAAAAGAAACAACAGAAGCTTCTCTGTTCTACTTTTTAAGCCATTTTTTWAATCGAAAATGCAGTGGGAGTCCTTCTGTCTCCTCCCTCCCAAAATATCTTTTTTAAATTCTTTTCTGACATTCTGTTGGTGTTTGCAGAATATAAGTATTAAGGTTGGCTATTTAAATACATTATTTCATTTTTCTCAATATCTCACAGCAAAAGTGGATGAGTATGAGCAAGCCCCATATCAGTAGATCTTTTATTTGTTTGATTGGCTTGGACACCACCYACTTGAAAGCAGTGGTTTTGGGGGAGTTTTCATTTTCTCAGACATTTTATCCTGTGAAATCACACTCCATCTGTGCAYGTTAGTGCGGGGAATCCCACCTGATGTTTCTGCACTTGTAGATCAGCAACCAGGAGCACCCTGTTCATTTATTGTCTTCCCTTCCTTCCCTCCTGCACCAAGCCCATGACCAAAGTCATGGTTCCCTTTGTCTCCCCCACTGCCTGGGAGTCAGAAAACTTGAGACACCTCCAGCATCCGATTTCAGGGCATGGTTCTCACGTTCCTTTTGTATTTGGGGAGACTCCGTGCATTTGCGTTTCTTTTTGCAGCCAGTGATGTGTGTGTTGTTGACATCTCAAGAGAAAACATTGATGCATTTGATAGCAGCCCTTGCACACTCAGAGAGCAGGGCATAGTGCTCTTTCTATAGTCAGGATACAGAGGAAATAAATTTGAAATAAAATATTTCAGCCTCAGTAAGCTTAGATTGCATCTTTGGCTGGCCACGCTAATTGAGTTGAATTTCTGGCTGCCTAAAAACAAGCTGGGGTATTCAGCGATCCATGTGGATCATTTTTTAGATGGCAGATTTTACCCTAAGATAGTAGGTCAATTTTAAAGCAAAAATCTTGGCACAAAAAAAGGTTTAATTTCTAGGGGAGAATGCCACCAACTCACATTGTTGTTTTGGAAAGTCAYTGCACATGTGGAAGCAGTCCTCAGTTTCCCCATAATGGAGAATGAGAGAGATTGATGATGTACACATAATTCATTTATGCTCCTATCATGCTTCAGGCTGTAGGGATGAAAGACACAATTAGGAAAGAACTATAATTACTGCATAATAAAGAAATTTTCATGTCAAAATGCTGCTGAGAAAAAATCACAAATTTTTGTAATATTTCTCCTTATATAGCAGAATGAAGAGAAAGAAAAAAAGAGCATTGATAATTTTAGAGTTACTCCTGAACTTTACTTGGTTTTGGAGTCTCGAGTGACTCTACCTAKKAGTGGATCTTGTTAATCTTTGCTGRCACTCAGTTCCTAGGRAGATGACAGGCTTTCCTTGCTGCTTGGCAGCCAGCAGCCCACTGGGGAGGGGAGACCCAAGGTGATGGCTCCATGGCTTGGTARCTGTCTTGAGCATCTGTGAACTCTGCTTTCACAGCCCTTGCTGATTTGACAGGTTAAGCTTGGATGTTTTAGATCTGCTTTGTATTTAAGTTTTKAAAGATCTGTTTTCCTTTCCATTTATGCTCTTCTCTTTCTCTGCTTGTCTTCCCCTATACACGTAGTTGCATCACAGTAATGTTCTACCTTCTGTTCCAGTACTTTAATTTACTTGTGATTTGTGCCCAAGACCCTTTATGACAAKACCCTCCCTTTTCTCTCTCTCCCTTTAAATTCCTCTGCTTTATGGCCAAGATGGTAAAATTTCCCTATTTRCATTTTCTACTTGGGAAGTACTTAGGTTTTCAAAGGAGAGCTGMTGGGCTACGAAACTACTGGCCAGAGATAGTCCTGGGCGTTAGCTGGCTGCTTAATGGGTTAGTGCTATTGAATCCACACTTAATGATGTCCAAAAGTATTAGTTCCATGTTGTCTCTAAATCTAATTTGCTTCCATTCATGCTTGCTTTCCTCTGCAATTAGTGYTGTTTTCTCCTGCACAGGCTCCACCCCATTATCACTTCTTTCACTGTATGAAAACAGGGCAGGGCCCCTCTGATGCATGGGAGCAGCTTTGGAGTTCTGATCCTGCAAAGAGCTGAACGCTTTCAGTTTCCCTTGCAGCAGAAAGCTTTCAGCGTTGCACAGAATTACTGAAATGTTCAGCATTGTAACTTTCTGAAATACCTTCCAAATGTGGAACTGCAGCGCAGACAAGAGGGCTGGGCAAGGGGAAGATCAATTGTGGCAGATTATTACAGCTTTATTGTCACATAATTATAGTGCTCTACCCCAATGTTTAAATAGTGAATTTAGTTATTGTAAATTGCTTATTGCCACAGGTGTCAAAACCAAAAAGATCATAATGCTAACCCCGTCAGAACTACCACCAACACGTGAAACGCGGAAAAAGATTTTTAATTATTTGTGATGGCTTCACCTGAGTCCCTACTGCAGATCTTTTAAATTACAAAATCCATATTAAGAAGCGAAAGGCCTGATCTATCCAAGCTCTAGGACAGCTCCAAGACAATGGAAGGTCGTCCTACTGCAGCAAATTGTAGCACGGCCCATTTAAAGTATCATGTAAYGCACTTAAGGAACGCTTTGTCCTGATCTGCTGTTGGAGGAGTAACCAGAATATTCTTTTCCTTCAAGGCAGAATGAAATGATATGGAAGTTTTACAGCAGACTTTTCTTTACCCCATTATCTTGCCTTTGAAGAGGTTTCTTAGTTTCAGTTAGGAGGTCCGAGGGCAGCTTTTAGAGTACGAACTGTTCTGCTGAACGGGATCAGCACCTCGGCCCTGCCTGGGTTTCAGACACACTTCTGGATGTCACAGTGCCATTTTCATGGCAATATCAAACCAAACTCATATGGCTTGCTTCCTTTTTTAATTAACTGGGAATGCCAGTGATCCAGTGAAGTTTGTGTTGCTGGATAAAAGGGCCGGTCTGTGAACAGCATTGTATTTGCCAAATGGTTCGCTAGTCWTTTCAGTACAAACAAATGGATGGTGTCTGTAAGTCTGCAAACACTGTTGACATTTAGCCTTGTTTATGTTACTTTCCTTTTGCTGCATATTTTTGGCTAGAAGAGATACTGTCTGAATCAACATTGACTTCCTAAGCAGAAGCTGAGGGCCCAGTCTTGCATCCCCCATTCTCAATGAGTAGCRCTACTTACATGACTAAGGATTGCAGAATCAGGTCCTGTGTTTATTTGACTTTAAATTTCATTTCTATATTCATGTAACTTGATTTGATTGTATTTTGTTGTATCAGAAATCGGTCRGGCGATAAGTTTGGTATCACCATTTTGTTTACTGTTGAAAACTTTTAGTTCTTTCCGTTTTTCGTACTGTGGCGTGACATTCCCATTCCATTTATGTTTCTGAAAATTAACCCCTAAAATATCTGATACAGCTAAGTGCTGAGTACCTCCTATTCCCAGAGAAACTGGAGGCATTCAGTCCCTCCTAGCACCACATCTGAAAGGGGGATTGTGTTTGCAGAAGGAGGCCTTGGTATGTGCCTTGATTTCAGACATCAGTGGCCAGCCRCACCAAGGCAAATCCCTAGCACAGAAAGGCTTTTCTTTTCTTTGCAGAGACAAAATAATGATGTAAGCTTAGGGCTGTATGATTTTTTGCTCTAAGTTTCATCTCCCAAACAACATATTCTTATTGTTTTTGTCATATCCARGTCAAATTTAAATTATAATTTAGGATTAGGCAGAGGCATAGAGATGTTTCCAGGTCTTTCCAAAGTGAGACAATGCTCTGGTTTGTGTTTTGGTTCAGGAATATACATTCTTGTGTCTGAGGTATAGTATTTCCTATAACTACTCATAAACATGAGCAATTTAGACATTCTTGTAAGTCAAAACTAAGTGTACGATTAATACCTATTATGAGGCCAATTTTAAACAATTAATTTGACAGCAATTATAATTTTATGTTACAGGCTTTCAGGAATAAATAACCAAATTCATCTTTGTAATCTAAGGAACTTAGGATATCTTTATGCAGAGATGATCTTGTTGTGCACAGTATCKCATATCTGGAATTTCTGAGGTTTGCTCCCTCCTATCTAGATGCCTGTAGTGCCAGGGATAAATAATTACCTGAGGCTTATTAATTGTTTCAGCAAAGAAAAAAATATATACCTTAAGTGTAAGCATTAATATATGTATACACAATACATCCACAATATATAACAAACCATCATAATAGTACAAAAAATAGAGGTCCTGAATATGTTCTGTTATTTATGTGTTTGGCAAGCTTAGGGAATGGACTTTAGTATGAGTGAAAATTCTCTTAACATTTTTAAGGTTATTTATTGTCATTTCTATTTGAGTTTTTAATGGTCCTGTATTTTGTAATGCTTTAGCAGGAAAAAATACTGTAGTTATCTTTTTTCATATTCTTTAAGCAATATTTCTAGCTTAATATATTGTGCCAGGTTTTCCAATATTAACCAAGAAAGACAGTAAAATTCAATGAACAGCACTCTGACATCCACAATTTAAAACCTGTGATTGAAGTGAAATGTGTAAACTTCTAGTGGGTTATCATGTGCTTTGGAATAGAGTATTGTTGGAAGTAATTAGAAAATATATTAAGGTTTCCTGGTAATGAAGGTATGTAAGTTTTAATAATTGTTGCTTTCTGAATAAGTGTCAAACTATATCTTTAAATGTATATGGAGTTACAAGTTAGGTCACTTCTGAATGGAATGTAAAACAATACTAAAATGCTTCAATAACTTATCTCAGTGTTGCTAATAAAAAAAAAGCTGTTAACCATTAGTGCAGTTTTGAGTCATTTTGTTAATTAATTCAAGAAAACACTCTGAGAAACTGTTGTGCCTTTTGGTAGACCAAAGACCACTCATGCAATCCACAGTCATTTGATGCTTTGAGAGGCAAACTCTGCAAAGCTGCTTGTTGTCCTTGTAAATGATATTTGTTAAAACCCCCATCTTTTAAGGCATTAGAGCAGTGCCATGTGTGGCTAGGCAGGTATTTAAGGGGGACATAAGACTCATCCCTTCTGTCACAGAGAATACCTGGGGAATGTGGGGCTTGTTTCTCCTCTGCCACTATCAAAATCCAGCAGAAATTGCCGTGGATGGCACGGGTTGGAAATGAGCAGCGTGGGTGGATTAAGTGTGTAAATATTGGTCAGGCTGAGCTGAAGACGGGGGTCTGGTGCTGCAGCTGGAAATGCAGCCTTAGGGAGTGATGGGYGTGCAGAAATAGCAGCAGCACAGAGCCCAGGATTGATCTTTGCTGGGTGATCTTGCCCAGCCCTGCTGAACTCACAGCTCCAGTCCCGCAGATAGCCCCGAACACTCGCTGGGCTCCCGTGGGAGGGATGTGCCGTCAGCATCCTGGGAATATCCTCTCTCCCCAAACCCACACAGGATTCTCCTGAGGTAAAGCAAGCGTGGCAGAYGAGCAGGCAGCCTTGGCAGCCCCAGTAGCAGCACCCAGGTCCATGGTAAGTGTTTGCAGGATGGGGCCGTGGCAGGTGGCCGCTGTCCGGAGCACCGCTGAGCGCACGGTGGGAGCTAAAGGAGAACTACCTGGGGCTCCCGGTGTCACATCTTCATAAATGCTCTCCCTTCTCAACAGCATATTGGTACTTTTTATTTATTCCACCAAAACACCATGAGTCAGGACCTGACATTTTAGCGTTCTGTGTCATACTGAGAAAAATCTGTGGTTCAGCAGTAGGACAATTATATTATTTTGGAAGGGCTAGAAATAATACAGCATTTGTGAGACAACTGTAACATTTATCCAGACTCAGTGTGAGATTGTTCTTCCTTTTATTTGGAGAGCACTTCCAAAAAAGTATCAACTAGGAGCACAGAAACCAAAAAAATATAAATTTAAAAAGACGAGAAAAAGTGGCAATTATGAATCCATTTAACCCCCATCGGGTATAATCTCATTTTGTGTAGTACCGCTGGCTGCTCCATGCCTAAACTTCTATGCAGTGAGCTGTGAATATAGTCCTCATTGTCCTGTGGGCGATATGACTAAGGAAAAAATATCTCTGTAATACAATGAAGCATTTGTCTGACTGGCATAACCTAAGGTCCATAACATCAAATCTAAAGTTGTAATTATACAGCTGCAGTCACACCACTCAAGTGAAGGCTGTGTCAGCACTTGTATTATATAAGAAATCCTGTTTGCAAGGGTTGATGAGTCATATGCAAAAAACATTTATCACTAAACAATTGTTCTGATTGTTCTGAAGAAACATCTAGGTACGGGCCTTTCCCCAGTAGGATGCAGTCATATCTTCTGCAATGTGCCATGGCGTACTTTGCTAATGAGTGTATCTTTTTGGAGCTTGGAAATTACCTAGAAAGWTTGGGGCTTTATGCAGTTTTATTACTGTCAAAACACAAAGTGGGGAAAAAAAAACAGGGTGGCCAAAGTCTTCACTAACAAGGATTGTAACAAGTGAAACTTGTCTTTCTTAGAAATTATAAAATTATAAAATTTCCCCCAGTTTTTCATCCCYGATTTTGCTTTAAATTCTTGGATCTGAGCACTTTCTTAGCAGACCTGGTCACAATTTTGGTTTTTGAGCTGCCTTGAAATGGAGCCTCTCCAGCTCGCTGTCATTGCCATTTGAAGTAGCCACACATTTGCTGGCGAGGAGCAGACAGGAAAGAGATTTATTTACAGCAGCACCACAGAGGTGAACCAGAAGCACTCTGCATCCCTCCCACGCCAATGTAAAAGGATTGAGACCAAATRCTGGAAACCACAGTGATTTTCCTACAACATGAAATTTCCAGAGAGGTACTGTGGGTGTGAGTGACTCCAGCCACCAGAGTGGTGATTTCCAGTGCCATTTACAARCAGGTGTCCCTGAAGCCACCCCCCATCAGGCGTTTACACCCGAGTGCCGTGCCCGCCCCATTGTCCTGGGTRAGACCAAGGCCAGCCAGGCCCTTTAAGCCGATCCCCTCTGATCCGGGGCGTCTGTAGCGCCGTTCCCTGCATAGAACAGCCATTGTTCAGCTGCAGAGCAACAGTGGGGTAGAAAATAGCATGCCATGCTGGGGATCAGAGAGGGAATTGTTCCTTAATTATCTCTTACTGAAGGAAAAACCCAAGGCATATCCCGATATGTGGCATGACTCCGTCAGAACACGAGTCTTTTAAAAAAGATTTGGGGAGGGGGGATCCATTCAGAAGCTGGCAATCCTCACTCCTCCTGTAGGTCTACCTGTGATTCACTCACTGACCATGGAAAGAAATAAGTTTTCCACTTTGGATTCCACATTATGAAATGGAAAATAATAGTACTTATCTCCCTGGTAGGAGTGCTGTGAGGATAAATGAATTAATTAATGTTTGTGAAGCACTTTGAAGATGAAGAACATTATATAAGTTGTCAGCGCACAAATGCCTCCTTCTCTGACATTACTACAGTAAGCTATAAAAAATTATTGATGAAAATAAACACAAATGTGGGTTGGGTGTGTCCATGGGGCTGAGGTGCCCCAGGGTATGGGTGAGCCTGCCTTCCCCAGCCGCTGGCAAACCCAACACCAAAACCTCTCCCAGCCCCTGCCCGTGCCCAGCCATGGTGCTCGGGGCTCTCTGCAGCAGCTTTGACCATCTTGCCTTTTTACCAAATCCACGTATTTTTACCTCAGGGCTCTTTGGGTTTTCAGGGAGGTGACGGGTTTTGGGCTTTGATGCATCATGCCAGCCCCAGCCCCATGTGCAGCAGCCCAGGAGGGGATGGCTCAGCAGTGTCTGGTGGGCTGCTCCCTCCCCAGCCCTCTGCCATGCCTGTGAGAGCAGCTCCCTGTCAGCAGTGAGGTCCTGCCAYGCTCTCTGCCACAGTTTGTCCCTCACTCAGGGCTGGGTGATGCCCAGGGAGTGACCCCACAGTGCTCAGCAGACCCCGGGYTGGTGGGTGGCTGACTTGGCTCTTGTGTGGTTTTTTTATTGAATGTCAGTGACTTCAGTTTGAGACTTGGAAGTTAAAATTTTTATTGCCTGGTATTCAACATCCCCATCCTAGATTAGTCCTTGCTGGTTTATTTTATATAACTTTTTTATTATTATTCAAGCCAGGAAGTGCATTTGACCCCAAACTGCTCACATGAATAACAAGGCAAAATAAGAGGATGAAGGGAAAGAAAACCAACACTTCAGCCATATAGAAATGGGACATTTATCAAGAGAGACATATAAGAACAGGTTTGTGCATTGAGATGGGCAGGTTAAAGATGAAATTTAGGATATCTTTGGGGCTCTCAATTCACAGCTGCCACACAGATCAATTCGAACACCTTGGGAAGAAAGCCGCCTTAGCCTTAACCATGCCTCATTTCACTTTCCCCTTTGCACACCTAGCCCTGCTCCAGTCTCCGTGCCTGGTTTCCTTTCCAATCCTCCCAAATCAAGCAGTTAAACCTGTTGCTGGCCCAGCCTGGTGGGGTGCAGAGGAGAGCAGTGTGCTGCTCCTGGGGGTGGAGGGCTCTGCTCTCCCTGCTGCCAGCGTGAGGAGGGGCACAGCAGAGTTTGCTCCAGACACCAGACGCACCCAGACGTGTCACTGGCACAACTGGCTGTCCCCAGAGCCTGGCTGGCACTGCCACACACCCAGCAGTGTGGCTGAGTTCCCCATGCCCTGCCATGAGAAGCGCTCAGTAACGGGAGGGCCTGCGGGTGCATTCACTAATCGTTATGTAACTGTACGTTGGGGTGAAAAAGAAGAAAACAAACCAGAAAAGCTTTCCCAAAGGAGAGAGGTGGGAATCCCATTAACATGACGGCTCCYTCTTTAGTTGCCAAAATGATTGACAGCGGGATAAGGTCAGAAGATGAAAACCGAGCCATGGGGGACAGAGCRGGGAGGGGAGGGGGCCAATCAGTTGAATAAAAAACTGAGTGTCGGTGCTGGGGAAGGAGAAAAMCGGCACTCCCACTAGAAAAATCCTCACCCTCTGCTCCCCTACTGTTTGTTTGGGGAAAATGCTGCAGCTTAATCAGAATTATTTACAAGATAATAGTCCATTGTTTGTAGTAAGACAGATGCTGTCTGTGGGAATTTGGTGGTTTATGCTCTATGCATTACAGTGCCATGGCTGTGTGCAGATGGGATCACAGTGGTATTGTTGTTATCCACTTTTTGGAAATTYGGAGGATCCTTACTGTGAAAGGAGGATCCTTGAAGAGAAAAAAGAAAGAGTTTTCTCAGGCCCAGCTCTGGTATTTCTCTTAAGGTAGAACTGTGTTTGTACRTGTGTGGGAGAAGAAGAGCACAAGGTGGAAGCATCAGCTGAGGGGTCCCTGGGCTGGCTGTCCGTGCTGGTGGCAGACATCAGCCCCACAGAYKGGTGGAGGGAYGGATGGAGGGATGGATGGATCCCACGTGTCTTTCCAGAAGCAAGGAAATCACCCTGGTGGGGTTTGTGTGTGCTCCCTCCTTCGCTGGRGGCTGGCAGAGTCACTTGTTTAGAAGGTGAACAAACCTGTGTGCGTGGCACAGTGATCATCCTCTGGCGGTGTGACTGCAGCTGTGGTGCTCCCTGCCACCCTCCCCATGCTGCCAGCYAAACACTGAGCGCTTCTGTTCCACCAGAAAACTTCATCCTGATGGTCTGAGGATGAGGCTGTGGGAAAGAAAAGCTAAATTTTCATTGGGTTCAAACCGGAAACAAAAGCCCCAAACTCCTAAAGAGAAAAACCTTTATTTATTTAGAAGAGCAAATGCAAGCTTTTGGGTTTTTGGGTTGGTTGGT